AATGAGGAGTTGATGCCAAGGGCTCAAGTAGAAAGCAGGTGTTCTGAGAATGATGATGGCAACAAATGTACAAATTTTCTTGACACATGGATTGTGATAAGAATTGTACGAGCTCCCAATATTTTTTTAATGATTAAAAAATATATATATAGCTCTTCGTGTATTTTTCATTACTTCCTTTAACAGAAAGCCTAAACTGCTCAGTGACCCAATAAGGCAGACTAGAATTGTCCATTTGAGTTTCTGTACAGGAGCCGAGTCTCAGATGTTTCGTTCAGAGCAGCTGGCGGGCTTAAACTACTGACTTTGTGACTAGCAGCTCAATGAGTAATTACTATGCCACCAGTGATTATTACTACCTCCCCAAAATGACAACAATCTTATGACTCTTGAAACATAGTGTACAAGGAAGCTTTAACAAGTTCATGGAAATTTTTTTACTTTTAATTCCATTTTGCCACAAGCTTTTTAAAGCCCCTTCATATACCAAATTCCTTCCAAAATGGTGATAGCTTTACTATGTCACCAGCAATATACAAAAGGAGGGCTATATTTAAAGGATGAAGGTGCAAGTAATTTAACAGACACATATAAAATGAAACTGTACATTAAAAAGCCCAGATCCTCCAAAGGAAAGCACAGGACCCGTTCTGGTCATTCCAGTCACTCTACCCAAAGAACAGGTCTACATTAGAATACCTAGTCCTCACTGCAGTCATACCATTATTCTTTATTAAATTTTATGAACTTAAAATAGGGTACGGAGGAATCCCATTTTCATTTCACATTTCCTAATTAGATGCAGGGTCAACATTTTTTCATTTGTTTATCATATTTTGTGAAGTGAACTAATGTCTTCCCATTTATTCATTAATCTTAATGGTTTTTATTGATTTGTATAAAATCAATACAATAATTAACTCTGACTATATCTGTTGTCAATTTGTCGTCTGCCTTTTAGTTGTCTTTTGCTGACTCATATTAACCCAGCAAAACAATAAAGGAAGAATCCTCAAAAGTCAATATATTGGTTTGTCAACTCATTGAATAGGAGAGGATGGAGTAATTTTAGACGGAATCTTTAAATATTACACAAAATAATAGAATGTGTATATCAGACAAACTTTTTCAATTACCATGAGAAAAGTTGTTTAAGGGCATACAAAAAAATGCATAAGGGAGGGCTGCCCATCGAAATAAACGGGGGTGGGGGGGGTGGGGGGTGCCGCAGAGAGCCAGTTGCTGTCAAGTCAATTCTAGTTAATATAACCCTATAGGGCAAAGGCTGGTTCCAATATTTATAAAAGCAGATACCCACACTCCCAGAGAGCAACAAATCTCTCTCATTGCCCTGGAGTTATTTCCAAATCATACCCTTATAGGACAGGGAAGAACTACACCTTTGGGTTTCCAAGACTATAAATCGTTAAGGAACAGAAAGCCTCATCTCTATCCAGCAGAAGCAGCAGCTGGTGGTTTTGAAACAATACCCTTGAGGTTAGCAGCATAATCTATGACACCACCAGAGAGTTCCAGAAACTAGTACCCTTGAAATGTTGGTCTTATGGTTAACAGCCAAATGCCATTAGGACTCCTGATCCATAAAAAGAGGTCCAAAACTGTGCTGGCAACAAAAGGAGAATAAAGAGGGTTACATTTTTAATGTAAAGATCTATAATTACTATGGTGCTTACAAGAAATCATAAGAAAAATAAAGAGAAGGGAGAAAAAAATCAACTTGCATGTCTTATAAATACATTTCAAAAAAATTAGGGCATGAGTAGGACTCTGATAAGATGAATTGAAGGTGCTGTGGCAGCAATACAGTTTTCTAATCACTGAATCATCACACTGAACAACCAGAAAACAAAAATCCTAACTCACGTCTAACATTCCCAACAAAAGTAGGTGAGACAAAGTAGCTGCAGCAAGCCTCTGATTTTTAAGCAACAAGGACAGGCCTCAGAAGAAGCCAATTAGGTACTCTGTAGAAAGCAATAGTGTGCCAAACTGAGAACAGGAGCTGCACGTGGGAAGAAAGGGCTTTGCCCTCTCTGATACAATAAACTCTAAAAGAGCTAGAGTAATCTAGCTTTGAGAACTCTAGAAATTAACCAGCCAGAGAGCTTCCTTACAAGACAGTACTCCAATACTAAGGAGAAGCTGCTCACAGCAGAATCAGAATTGAGCCCGGCAGGGACCACAGTTAAAGATAAAGAAGACCTTGCAAGATGAACAAACTAGGACACCACTACATTTACATAAAACAACCAAGGAACAGAAGTATTTGGCGAACTTGAATCCCACCCTACTCTAAACGCTCAGGAAAACACATTTCACATCAAAATAAAGCACAGAAAAGCATCAGGGTCAAGTCTCATACATAGTTATTACAAGAAAAAAGGCAGATAAAGTGCAGAATAAAAAAATAGAAATGGGGAGGGGAGGGGGAAGAGCTAATCCCAAAGGCTCAACAGAAATGTCTAGAAAAGAATGAAGGTAACATATGTACAAACATGCCTGATTCAATTGATGTATAGAATGTAATGAGTTATACGAGGCCTCAATAAAATGATTAAAACAAAACAAAATAAAAATAAAAAGGGGAAAACACTTGGGGGAGAAATCTTATGAGGATTTACTGATGAAAATGAAAGAAAAAAAAAGAAATGGCACACAAAGCAAATCAAATTGTACCATATTTCAAAACCCACTAAAAGGGATTAAGCAAAGAAAAACACAAATCTAAGTTAGAAACAGAAATGAGGTGACAGAACTCAAAAGTAGAAACAGAAATAAAAGATTATTTTCAGAAATTAAGATGAATTAACATACTTACAATACCCAAGAAAAGATGTTAGCCAAAGATAATTTATTCTCAAAATGGATTTTCAAGGATAAAAGTGGAGCAATTATCAACGTACAAAACTCAATGAATCCTGCTACTGTGTGCCTTTCTTGAGAAATCTGCTAAAAAATGAGTTCCAATCAAAAAAGGCTAGAGAGACATGAACACAAGGCACTGATGATTAGCATTAAGTATTAAAATTATTTCCTGAACTTAGGTTAAGTGAGGGTTAAAAGGCAGAGAATATGGAGTAACTACATACTCTGTTAGCTATAACACACTGAATTATAAAAACAATTTTGACATGTGATGGGGAAATTATATGTAAAAAATTGGGTCAGTAATTATACAGAGATAATGTTCATTTTGTTTTTAAGACTGAAATCTGACTAAAACAAATGCATAATTATGGGATATTTTAATTCTATCACCCCCTTTATCTTTGCAAACAAGCATTTTCATTTTGAAAGAATGTAGACATTGGCATAGTGTAAAAAAGTTTATGTAAAAATTCCATAGTCCAGAATTTGAACTGAAAGTACCAGTATAATACCATTTCCCACTTGAAAAAAGCAAATGAAAAAACGGTACTTTGTAGAAAAATAGCTAGATGATTCAAGGTCTGGAGCAAGAAATGCATGAAATAAGCCTAGAAGAATTTGATATAACATATTGCAAAGAAGTTGTCAACGATTACCAGGCTTATGCCAAAAGAAGTTAAGAACTATTCTGAAGGGTCTCCCACTGGCCAAGGGTGGAACAATATGTCCCTCACTACAGACAATAATTCAGTAAACTGAAATTCAAATATATTTAAATCCATGAGTTCATGATACTTTTAAAACAAAAGTAACTTGCCAAGTTTGGAAGATGATAGGGAACATACTGAGTAAGAAAACTAGGAGGTGAGGGGGGTAATCAAGCATTTATCCTACCTTTCTTATGTGAACAGTACCAGAATAACCCAATATTCAAGAGGGGAAGCATCTTTATTAAAGCACTTCAACTAACACATGAAAATGAAACAACAAAGCTAGAATACCACCATTTTGCAATCACCAATGATTTAACAGACCTAAGGTATTAAGCATCTGGGACAGCTAATCTCACAAAAAGAGACAGATAATAATTAAAAGTTTCCTGTTAAAAGAACACATCATGTTGTCTTGCCAAAGTGAGACTGATCTAGTCTCTAGATGTATTTGTCAATTTGCAAGAAATACAGAGCTAGGGAAACAATGAAATGTACCAGGAGGAATCCATCAACAAAATCCAGACTAGGGAAAATTCTACAGACTGAAAAGCCCAAGTTTCTGAACAAATATTGAAAGGAACAAAGTAAAAAGATCCACATTAAGAGATTTTTTTTAAATGAAAACTTCATGTTTAGATAGGCAAGACTGAACTTGAGTCTACTGGTTCACACCTAGGTGACACAAGTATAAGACAAGCATAGACCACTCTAAAAGCCCTCCTCCCTGTATGGAGGAGAAAGAAATTCTGGAGGGCTGGCAAAGTTCTATTATTTAGCCTGGGTAGAGATTCGAAGGGTATTTATTTTATAATAACTCAATAAGCAGCCATTACTTTCTTCATCTATTTAGGAGCCCCAGTAGAGTAGTAATTATGCATTGGGCTGCATCCTCAAGGTTGAGGGTCTGTAACCACCAGCACCTCTGTGGGATAGAGACCTGCCCACATGGGGGAAACCAAGAGGGGAGTGCAACAGATCAGTGATGGGAGCGGAGCCACGAAGTCCCTGAGGAATCCCGATCGTAGACTTCTGACACGGGGTCAGCACTTGGCATATGAACTAGTTGCAGGTTACTGACAAGGGGGCCACACTCAAAGTCTAAAGATGTAATGGTGGTGGGAAGGGTAGGGGGGACACTAGACCTCTCCATCCCTGTCTACAGGATAAGCAATGGGGACTTTTAGGATGCTTGCCTTTCGGACATGAAAGCTGAAGACCAAAAGGGTTTGTGTTGCTAGATAAGCGGAATCTGGGATACGGAACCCTGTCAGAAAAGGGGGCTGGATTGATGGACTATTGTAACATGTCCTTCTCTCTAACAGAGAGATATTCATCTGCTCTATGTCAGGAACCCTAACAGACTTGTGACTACTTGTAATTTCGTGTGTGTGTGTGTGTGTGTGTGTGTTGTGTGTGTAAGTGTCTATACAGGATAGGCAAGCCTACAAAGACAGTGACTGAATTGATGGTCCTGGGGCGCAGGGGAGAAGAGGAGGTGGGGGGTGGAGTAGGAGGAGAGCAGTGAGACAATAATGACAGGCACAAGAGAAGAGTATGCATTCTAAAATTGATGGCGAGGAGGATATAGCTCTTTTGGTGGTTTGATCAATAGAATTATATCTGAGAAGAATTACTGAAAGGTGAACAATGGGTAAACGTGATAGAGGGGCAGGAGCAAAGAAAAAGAGGAAAGAGGAAAAAGAAAAAAATATATATATGTAGGTATATATGTATATGTAAATATATGTATATTTGCTTATATACATATATAAAGGCAAATGCAATAAGGAAGCAGATAGACTTTGGGTCTCAATCTTACCTCAGTACAAAAAGCTTGTTCTAATAAAGTGGCATTGTATGATACTCATCTTCTTGACAAGATCACTGAAGAAAACTGGGTGCATAAGCAAATATGAAGAAAGTTAATGGTGCCCGGCTATTAAAAAATACAGTGTCTGGGGTCTTAAAGGCTTGAATTCAAACAAGTAGCCATCTAGCAGGGAAGGAACAAAGCCCACATAGAAGCAGCACACCAGCCTGTGTGATCATGAGGTGTCGACAGGAAAAGGTATCAGATGTTCAAAAACAAGCAAGCAAATCAATGTGAAGGGGTGGGGATGTTGTGGAGACTCAAAACCCACCTGCAAGATAATTGGACAGTCCTTCTCAGAATAGCCACGTGGCTCGGAAGGGATGATAAATCCAGGGTGTGGTATAGCATTGAGGAAACACATAACTATCCTCTAATTCTTGAATATTTCCTTCCCTTACTATTATGGCTTTTATTTGTTTAACCTCATTAACCATGTTAGACTGTGTATGTTCATTTGTATAATTAAGATCGTTAGATTCATGTAAGCCAGAAAGATAACCCTTCAGAAACAGTAACAGGAGTAATGGTTCCCTGAAGGAACAGGAAGTCAAGGAGGGGGAGGGAGAGCTGATAGCACTGATGTCTGTAACCCCACTTGAGGGGCACAAACAACAAAATTATATGTGAATGGATATATTAGATGGTGTAAGATGCAGCCAATAATAATATAAAAATAAGGTTCTTGGTTGAAGAGAGGAGATAAAGTGGAGCTGATATGAAGGAGTTCAAGAAGAAAAAAATTGTTTTGAAACTGACTGTGGTAGCATTTGTACAATACTGTTTGATGTGATTGAACTATGGAATGTTATATCTGTAAGAGCTGCCAATAAAATGATAAAAAAAAGAAAAAAGAAATAAAAGACTGGGTTTTCTACTCCTCTAAACAGTTACAGTCTTGGGAACCCTTAGGGGTCACTACGATTCAGCATTGACTCTATGGTAGTGAGTTTGGTTTGGTTTTCTTCATCTGTATTTTATTTCATAAATTTTTAAAGTTTGGGCACAATACAAAATTAAAAGGGAATAAAAGTTTACATATTTAAAGTATGACCCCAGATACCCCAGCTCTACTGTCAAGGTAACCATAGATGCCATTTTCTTTTTCTTCCAGAGGTTGAACAGATTACGGTTAGAAAATAAATACATGTCATACATAGCATTTTAAGACACTAAAGCCATAATTATTACATACCTCCTCAAAAAGACATAAAGCTGCTTCATAGAGTGAGCACAAGCCATCAGATGTTCTGGTTGGTTCCCTCCACTGACTCCGATCAGCAGATGATCCCTATAATTAAAACATTGTGGGATACAGTATGGAAAGGAGAGGCACATGTGTTAAAATCACTTGCACAGTTCATAGAAACAATATTTATTTCTGGAACTATTTTTATGATTACAGGCATTGAGATCAAACTTCACTGAGTTATGAAAACAACGATGACATAAAAAAGACCTGGCTCTAGGCTGAAATCATATACCAGCTTTTCCTCACAATTATATCAATTTGTTTCAAGGGCCATAAGCTCTGGAAAGAGTTGAGGCAAAATTTTACCAGTTACATACTTTTCGTAAATGGGCATTCAGGAGACACTCAGTTCCCCTGGGACTGCACTTCTCATTGTGTCCAAGGATACGTTTGAGTCATGACTTTGACCAGAAGAACAGAAAGTCTGTCTCTCTTCGTAGTTTTAGCACAACCTAGGCCAGTGGTTCTCAACCGTCCTAATGCCGTGACCCTGTAATACAGTTCCTCATGTTGTGGTGACCCCAACCATAAAATTATTTTCGTTGCTACTTCATAACTGTAATTTTGCTAGTTATAAATTGTAATGTAAATATCTGATATGCATGATGTATTTTCATTGTTACAAATTGAACATAACTAAAGCAGTGATTAATCACAAAAACAGTATGTAGTTATATATTGTGAAATATTTATTTCTAATTACAAGTAACTGAAATGTTGTCTTGAAGCATGGTGTAGCATGGGTAAGTCTTCACACCCGGGACTCGTATGTGGGTGTAAACTGCATGTGGGCAGACCCACCTGGAGACAGAGGTACGATGTCTCAGTTCCTAAGGCCATCGGAAATATGTGTTTTCTGATGGTCTTAGGCGACCCCTGTGAAGGGATTGTGACCCACAGGTTGAAAACTGCTGACCTAGGCCGAGGAAGCCAGTTCATAATAGCTACTTAATGGCAACATACCATCTTTCTCTTATCACACCTAAAGAATCACAGCACATCTTTGGAACTAAATGCCTACTTGAAGCTTGTTCAGGAGGACAGAAACCTAACACAGTGACAAACAGGTCAGGTGGGGCCCAGCATACCAGGAGAGGCTTTAGATTATTTTCTAAGTTCTCAGACAACAGAGTAAAGTATAAGAAACAATGGCTTAGAGAAACCAAAGCATCAGACTGTTACAAGGAAGAAAAATATAAAATTCAATAAATAATCATTCCATTCTCCTAAAACCAATACGAGAGTTAATTAAATTTCATTGAATGTAGGCCTGGAGTAACTTTCAGAGTGACTCATAGAGTCCAATGACAATGACAGACTAATTCTCACTGACAGCTCAAGGGACAAACTGATCTGTCTTGAAGAAGTATGGCCAGAGTGCTTCTTAGAGGTAAGGATGGCAACACTTGGTCTTCAGTGCTTTGGACGTGTCAGGAGACACCAGTCCCTGGAGAAGGACATCATGCTAGGTGAAGTGGAGAAGCAGGGAACAAGAGGAAGGCCCGTAATGAGATGGCTGCAACAACGGGCGCAGGCACAGGAACAACTGTGAGGATGGCGCAGGACAATGTTTCACTCTGTTGTGCATAAGGTCGCTATGGGCTGGAACCAACCGGATGGCACCTAACAATGCATGTACCTCCTACTATGGAAAACAAGTTAGCCTAAAAACCCTGGAAGAGTATAGTCAATACTAAATTACGAGTACATGGTTTCTTTTCAATTCAAATCGTGAATTAACATGACTCCTAAATAATAAAAGGTGCATTTTGGATCAAATGTTAAATCCCAATTAACTTTTTCAAACAAAATGCCCATAGCATTTAAATCTAGTTTTTAACGACTCTCAGACTTTTGTAAAGTTTCATGAAATACGAAAGCATTGCAGTTTTTGTTTTTTAAAGTTGGTCTTATACAAGTCACTCATACCAATGACCATGACGATGTTGCAGGACCAAGCAGTTTTGTTCTGTTCTGCATGAGGTTAAGTTGGAGCCAGCTCAACAAATTAATTTGAAGTTTCACTGGCTTTCCTTTTAATTACTTCTTAAATATCTACCATCCAAAATAATGTAATAGGTTTTTTTTTTGTTTTTTCATGTTTGTCCATTTCAGACATTACAAAAAGAGCAAAGACTGTCGAGTGTATTTCCTTACGTTCCTGCTACGTAGTTTCACTCTATTTAAAACTGCTTCCATAACGCTCTACTACCTATATCACATCACATC